GGTCCAAGCCTTCATCAGCTTCTATACAAACAGCCCCTTAACTCTGTTCCTGCTTTGAGGCCTCTGGAGGAACCTTTCTTCTTTCTTTAAGATGTAAAGCTTGGGCCAGGTGCAGTGGCTTATGCCTGCAATCCTAGCACTTTGGGAGGCCGGGGCAGGCCGATGGCCTGAGCTCAGAAATTCGAGACCAGCCTGGGCAACATGGTGAAACCCTATCTCTACTAAAATACAAAAAATTAGCCAGGCATGGCGGTGTGCACCTGTAGTCCCAGCTACTTGGGAGGCTGAGTCAGGAGACTTTCTTGGACCTGGGAGGCAGAAGTTGCAGTGAACTGAGATCACGCCACTGCACTCCAGCCTAGGCAGCAGAGCAAGACTCCATCTTTAAAAAAAAAAAAAAAAAAAAAAAAAAAAGAAAACTCACACCTGTAATCCCAATACTTTGGGAGGCTGTGGCAGGCAGATCACCTGAGGTCAAGAGTTCAAGACCAGCCTGACCAACATGGTGAAACGCTGTGTCTACTAAAAATACAAAAATTAGCCAGGCATGGTGGCGTGCACCTATAATCCCAGCTACTCAGGAGACTGAACCAGGAAAACCGCCTGAATCGGGGAGTCATAGGTTGCAATGAACCAAGATCGTGCCACTGTATTCCAGCCTGGGTGACAGAACGAGATTCCATCTCACAAAAAAAAAAAAAAAAGAAGATACGAAACTGTATGTTTTAATGATGAAAATAAACAAAACATGCTCCATTAAAGAATATTTAGAAAATACAGAAAAATGTTGAGGGAGAATACTCCGATAGGTCAGCTGTCATCAGATGTGCTCATGACATGGCACTGCATCTAGGCCTCTCTTCATCCCGTTATCTACAGGATCAAGTCCATGCATCCCAGTCCTTGGTGGCACAGCTCCAGTGCCCCTCTCCATTTTCCTCGGCCATACCCCTCTTCATTGCTGTGTTGACCAGTCCCACCAAGTACCTTGCCCTCATTCCAGGACACCACAGCCTCCTTGCTGGTCTCTGGGCCCCTCTGGCAAGCTCTTCTCTCCCTCTTCTCTCCCTGATAGACTTGACTCACCCTCCAAGGCCCTGATCTCATGTTACCTCCACCAAAGCACCCTTTCAGATTCCCCAGCAGAAAGTTAGTCTCTCCTTTGTGCTGCCACAACACTTTGATCTGTCTCTTTCACTTCACTTACCTGACTTTTTAAAAATTTATTTGAAAAAGAGTTCATACAGACAGCAGTTAATTCAAGCAATATAAAAGGTAATTCCCTGTCACCCGTGACCTGAAGGCTCCTAATTCTCTCGAGAGGCAATTGATGTGACCTGAGACAATCCGTGTATGTAGAGTATTCTGCACCTTCTATCTTGGGAATTGTTTCAGATTGGCTTCTGTGTGTGTGTCTTAGTCCTTTTTGGACCTGTCTCCTTTACTAGAGTGTGAAGTAGAGGTATCTTCTTTATACTTTCTTACCTATACCTGACACTGGGCTTGGCCTTGGACTAGGGACTTGAGAGAGAGATAAGACAGATAAGTGAATGAATGAATGAATGAAGCATGGCTGGCCAGTGCTTACCCACTCAGGGTTGGGTGCCATCTTTTCCACAGATCCCTCCCCTGGGGAAGCACTACTCCCAGCGTTGGGCCCAGGAGGACCTGCTGGAGGAGCAGAAGGATGGGGCCCGGGCAGCAGCCGTGGCTGACAAGAAGAAAGGCCTCATGGGGCCACTGACTGAACTGGACACTAAAGGTAGGCCTCTCACCTCCCTGCCAACCCCAGGTCAGGACTTGAGTTCCAGAACTTCAGGCCACCTGCCCTCCTTTCCTGTGCCCACTTAGATGTGGATGCCCTGCTGAAGAAGTCTGAGGCCCAGCATGAACAGCCGGAAGATGGATGCCCCTTTGGTGCCCTGACGCAGCGCCTCCTGCAGGCCCTGGTGGAGGTGAGCACCCTAACCCAAAACAGGAACCACATTTACTTTGTGTTTTAATGTGTTATATTTATTTTTTATTGGAATATATCATACATTTATTAGGTTGGTACAAAAATAATTAGGTTGCTGCAAAAGTAAAAACCTGGACTAACACATAGCAAAAGATTGGGAATAATACATAACTTTTGCACCAACCTAATAGAAAAGTGCACAGATCATAAATGTACAGTTTTCACAAATGAGCTTGTATTAGCAGCCTGGAGATTACAAAATGAAACATTACTATATCCTAGAAGCCCCTCTCATGCCCCTGTTTTTCTCCAACTTCCCCCAAAGATAGCCTCTACTCCACAATTAACTTTTGCTAAGCATCTGTTGGAGGGGCTTTATACACATCCTCCCACTGGAGGCCAGGACAGTGGTTAACCCTGTGTTACAGATGAGAAGATTAGAGGCTCAGAAAAGGGAACTGTTCACTTGAGGTCTCACACAGCAGGATTCAAACCCCTACTTCGGGGTTCCTGTCTTTATACCTGCTGGTTGACCTTAGACACACCTTCATACTCTTTCACCTCATTGAGACTCAGTTTTCTTTTCTGGCTCAAACACAATAGTTTCTCTCATGTAACAGTCTGGGTACGTGTTCCAGGTTATCTAAGGTAGAGGAAGGGGTATATCATCAAACAGGAATCCCAGCTGATGGTGGCCTTGCAGTCTGCACAAGGTCACTCTGGGCATAATTGTCACTCCAGTCCCACAGAATAAGAGCAAGGAGGAGTGTGTGAAGGAAACTTTTTGGGCCATGCCTAGCTGTGGCTCTTATTTCTTCTGATCGCTTTCCCCTGGAGAGAATCTGTCACATGACCATACCTGCCTGCAAGGGAGCCTGGGAAATGTAGTGCAGCTGGAGAGGCATTGCCTAGCTGCCATGGAGGAAAGGAGAGTGGCGTTCGGACAGCTAGCACCTCTGCCACAGCAGGCCTAGCATAGTGCCTGGTGCGTTGCAGGCACTTCACAAACCTTGGCTGTTCATTACCATCATTGAGTGTTAATCATTTCTCTTCTGTGTTCCTTTTGTTCCTTTTTCTTCATATCAGTACAAAAATGGATTTCTAGAATGATCAAAGCAATTTGGGATCAGTATGGGAAGGCTTCCCAGAGTAGGTGGGATGGGAAAGATAAAAGGATATTTCTGGTGTTTGAAGACTGTCAGTGTAGGTCAGAAAGGAGCAGGAAAGTGGAACAGCTCTTTTTCCTTCCACCCATTTCTGTGGTCTTCTAGGAAAATATTATTTCCCCTATGGAGGATTCTCCTATTCCTGACATGTCTGGGAAAGAATCAGGGGCTGACGGGGCAAGCACCTCCCCTCGCAATCAGAATAAGCCCTTCAGGTGAGTGGTGTCCTATCCACAACCCACAGTCTGGCGCCCACTTCTGTTGGCTTCTCTCCATCTCAACCTGGGGAGTTCCTCATCAATAAGAGGCTGGGGACAGTTAGGTGAAGCCCAATAGCAGTCTCAAGTGTGAGTGCTGGCCCAATGTGTCTGCATGCACAGACTGAGTGCAGGGTTGTTCAGCACAGAACTGTTCATACCATAAATAAACCAAATGTCCTGCTGAAGGGGAGTGGTTGGCTAAATTGGCATAACTCCATATGATGAAATAACTTGCAACTATTAATCATATAGCTGCAAGTACAGAGAAATATAGGTAAATGACATGAAAAGATGTAAATTGTAGAGTGCCAGGTGGGGAAAATGTTAGTTGTAGGCCAGTACAGATACATATTTTTATAATCTTATTTTTACTTAAAATGTATTTCTTTTTCTTTTTCTTTTTTTTGAGACAGAGTCTCACTCTTGTCGTTTAGGTTGGAGTGCAATGGCGCAATCTTGGCTCACTGCAACCTCCGCCTCCCAGATTCAAGCAGTTCTCCTGCCTCAGCCTCCAAGTAGCTGGGATTACAGGCGCCTGCCACCATGACAGGCTAATTTTTGTATTTTTAGTAGAGACGGGGTTTCACCATGTTGGCCAAGCTGGTCTTGAACTCCTGACCTCAGGTGATCCTCCCACCTCGGCCTTCCAAAGTGCTGGGATTACAGGCATGAGCCACCATGCCTGGCCTACTTAAAATATATTTAAATACATGCACATAGGGGAAAAAACCTGGACTAATATGTAGTAAAAGATTGGGAATAATATATAACAAAATCTGGAATATATATAATAACATATAACAAAATAATAGTGATTCTGGGTCGTTGGCATTACAGGTTTTTCCATATTTTTTGGATAGTGGATACATATGTTGCTTGTATTTAAAAACCAGACCAGATGTGTCTGTCCTTCCCTTTGTATCTGGATAGATACAGAGGGGGTGCCCAAAGGGAAAGGTAGGTTTTCACTGAGCTTGGGAAGCCCTGGGAACCTCCAAGGTGGGCCCTCCTCCAAGCTGGCTCTTGAGTCTGACAGGGGCCTGCCTCCCCCTGCAGTGTGCCGCATACTAAGTCCCTGGAGAGCCGCATCAAGGAGGAGCTAATTGCCCAGGGCCTTTTGGAGTCTGAGGACCGCCCAGCAGAGGACTCTGAGGATGAGGTCCTTGCTGAGCTGCGCAAACGGCAGGCGGAGCTGAAGGCACTTAGTGCCCACAACCGCACCAAGAAGCACGACCTGCTGAGGTGAGTGTGAGCAGGATGCACAGTCCGCGGGTGGCCTTGGAGGCTGTGCCCACAGCTGGTCACCTTCCAGGGGTTTTACAACAGGCTTTCCAAGCCTGGCTGGTCTCTAAATCACCTGGAGAGCCTCGAAACAGCAGTGGCCAGTCCACCGGGTATGTGTCAAACAAATTCTAATTCCACAGAGTGGGGCTCAGGCACCTGTGACTGATTGATCGATTGATTTGATTTGATTTGGTTTGATTTTTTAATTGTGGTAGAGGCATAATGTAAAATGTATCCCCATGGGAGGCTGAGGCAGGAGAAATGCTTGAACCTGGGAGGCAGAGGTTGCAGTGAGCCAAGACTGAACCATTGCACTCCAGCCTGGGCAACAAAAGTGAAACTGCGTCTCAAAAAAAAGGAAAAGAAAAAAAAATTTACCCTTCTTAACCATTTTTAAGTGTGCAGTTTAGTAGTGTTACCCATATGCACATTGTTGTGTGATTTATTTTTTGTCTTTTCATGCTGCTTTTCTTTTTATCCCCAAAGTTTTTTTATTAAAAATTTCATACATGCAGAAAATCTGAATCATACAATAAACATCAGCATATTCTCCACCTAGACTAATTAACTATTAACATTTTGTTAGAGATCTGTGATTTTTATTTGCTTATCACAAGAAATTGACCAGTGTTTTAGGACATGTTCTTTTGGGAATCCATCACAGTGCCTACCATTCATTTGATGTCAACTCCCATCCATCTTGTTCTGCATTGATCACAACAAAGGTATAGGTGACATCTGGAGGAAGACTGTGGAATAGCTACCCTTTAGTTAAAGAGATAGGGAAGCAACCCAAACAAGTCTCTGCTTCTCACAGGCAAGTGCTATGTCTTAACTTCATAGAGCCCTGACAGGACAGGACATACACATTCATTTGGCCTTTGTTGTTGTTGTTGAGACAATGTCTCACTCTGTTGCCCAGGCAGTGGGTGCACTGGCACGATCTCGGCTCACTGCAACCTCCGCCTCCCAGGTTCAGGCAATTCTCCTGCCTCAGCCTCCTAAGTAGCTGGGATTACAGGCATGTGCCACCACCATGCCCAGCTAATCATTTGGCCATTCTTATTGTCTCTTAGACATTGTGCTAGGGACCAGCAAGAGAGGCACAGCAAGAGACTTGCAGATTACTAGCAGATGATCAGTAAAGACGAGTGCCATTAAAAGGAGAGGTAGTTGCTGACAAGCTGCCAGGGTATTTAAGGATAAGGGTGACTAATGTATGCTGAGTGCCTACTGTGTGTCAGGGGCTTTATGTACACTCTCAAGTGTCGACAACAACCCAGGAGGGAAGTGCTGTTTTCCTTGTTTACCAGATGAGGAAATAAAGGCCCAGCGAAGCGAAGTGCTCTGCTGAAGGTCACACACTCAATAAACAGCCAAGCTGAGACTTGAGCCCATGGCTGAATCAAAGCCTCTTTCTGTAATAGTTCACGTTTTCTCTGAAAGGTGAGAAGAAGAAAACACAGATGGAAGGGGCACTGAGGGAAGGAGAGGGAGAGAGGGAGAGAGAGAAAAGCAGGCATGTGCGGTTACAGAAGTAATGGGCCTTAGCTGAGCCTGGTGGCTCATGCCTATAATCCCAGCACTTTGGGAAGCTGAGGTGGGAGGCTTGTTTGAGCTCAGGAGTTCGAGACTAGCCTGGGCAATGTAGTGAGACCCCCATCTCTACTAAAAATTTAAAATCAGCCAGGCATGGTGGCACATGCCTATAGTGCTACTCAGGAGGCTGACGTGGGAGGATCACTTGATTCTGGGAGGTGGAGGCTGCAGTGAGCTTGATCAGGCCACTGTACTCCAGCCGGGGTGACAGAGTGAGACCTGTCTCAAAAAAAAAAAAAAAAAAAAAGAAGTAATGGGCAATGAAGAAATGGCTTGCAGCTCTCAGGAAACCAGAGCACAGCCCTTACCCTGCTGCAGAGCAGCTGTAAGGCCTTAAGCACTCCCTGACCTGAGCAGCAGCTTCCTCTTCTGGAAAACGGGCAGGCTGGACTCAATCACTAAGTGACTTTCCAGCTCCACCATCAATGAAATGTATAAATCAGATCCTATTCAGAGAGATTGATTTGGTGTTTCACCCACCTCCTGTCAGCCTCAGGCTGCCTAGACCTTAGGGGGCTCTGGAATGTAGATGCTGAAGTAAGCAGGTCTTCTGCTGGCACTGGAACACCTGTTAAAGAACAGTATTTAAAAATAAGAGTTTAGCTCCAGCCTGCTCCAGATCTCCCACTTACTCACTGTGGGATCCTGGGATCATCTTTGAGCCTCATTTTCCTCACGGGTAACATAGGAATAATAGTACATACTTTGCAGGGTTTTTAGGATTAACTGAAAGAGAGTGTGTGTGTGTGTGTGTGTGTGTGTGTGTATTTTTTTTTTTTTAAGAGACAGGGTCTTGCTCTGTTGAGGAGGCTGGTCTCAAACTCCTGACCTCAAGCGATCTTCCTGCCTCCACCTCCCAAAGCGCTGGGATTACAGGCACGAGCTACTTCACCCAGCCTACTTGTATATATTTTTAAGACCTTTTTTTTTTTTAAAGACACAGTCATGCTGTGTTGCCCAGACTGGAGTGCAGTGGCATGATCATAGCTCACTGTAACCTTGAACTCCTGGCCTCAAGCAATCCTCAGCCCCTTTGGAGTTGGGACTACAGGTGTGTACCACCACACCCAGCTAATTTTTTAGATTTTTTGTAAAGACAGTCTCACTATGTTCCTCAGACTGGTCTCGAACACCTGGGCTCAAGTGATCCTCCTGCCTTGGGCTCCCAAAGTGCTGGGACTGCAGATGTGAACCACCATGTGCAGCCAAGACTTTATTATTTTAGAGCAGTTTTAAGTTCACAACAAAATTGAGAGAGAGGTACAGAGAATTCCCGTATACCCCCTGTCCCCACATGTGCACAGCCTCCCCCATGATCAACATGAGTTAGTATTTTTTTCAGGAGCTTAAAATAGTGCCATATAAGTGCAGGTCAGTAACTGCTTTTTGGTCACGACTGTATGACACAATCCACAAGCATGCCAGCCTGGGCTGGTGGGTAGGCTCAGTCTTGAAGAGGAAGGGGCCGCTCTCTGGAGGTGGGCTGACCATGGCATCTGGCTGGCTGGTCCCCACAGGCTGGCAAAGGAGGAGGTGAGCCGGCAGGAGCTGAGGCAGCGGGTGCGCATGGCTGACAACGAGGTCATGGACGCCTTTCGCAAGATCATGGCTGCCCGGCAGAAGAAGCGGACTCCCACCAAGAAAGAAAAGGACCAGGCCTGGAAGACTCTGAAGGAGCGCGAGAGCATCCTGAAGCTGCTGGATGGGTAGCCCTCACCCCTGCCTCAGGCTGATTATCTGGCCTCGGGGAGGGGAAGGGAGGCCCACTTCCTTCTTTGGGCACAGGAAGCATTGGCCTGTGGCTGTCCCTCAAATGGCGACAGTCTCTAGAGGACCGTGGCCCTTCCCCTGAGGTCTTTTGGCCGAGCTCTGTACAGCCAGGACACAGGAAGCCCTGCTGGGCTGGCCTGAGGCCTAGTCTCTGCTTGGTCCCCAAGATGGGGTTGGAGGGGACTTCGTTTCCTGGTCTTCCTCTTCCCCCTTTACCATCCCCCACTCCCAACCCCCTGCCCCTGTTTCCCCTTCAAGGACTTCTCCCTTGTGGTTTTGTAAAGTGCAAACTTAAGAATAAAGTGACTGCTGTGGTTTTTCAAAAAAAGCATCCAGTCTTTGAATGTCTGTAACGGTGGGGTAAAGGAACCAGTGTGGGTGGTAAGGTTTGTAGGGGGTATGCTTGGTGGCTCTCAGCCCGTGGCCACTAACCCATGGCATTCAGTCAGGGAGAACTGAGTACCTCTTTCTGAGTACCTCTTTCTGAGTACCTCTTTCTGAGGATACTTGTGGCTGCAGGTAAGAATGCCCTCCAGCTCAAAGTGGATTCATAATAAGGAAATGTGTTGGTTGCAGGCTTGGCAGTCCTGGGACAGGGTGGCCTTCGTGGTTAGCCAATCTAGCAATTCTTCAGGGTCATTAAGGGTCCAGGTTCCTTAGGGGTCGCTACACTGCCCTCCACAGTGTCAACCTCTGCCTAAGGTGAGTCCTTCTCTGGCTGCAGTGTGGCAGTGGAGCAGTTGAGGCCAGATGCTTCCTCATTTACATCCAGCACAGCAGGGAGCGGGAGCCAGTGGGCTTCCATGGCCCACCTACAGGAGCAAGAAGCCTTTTCCCAGATACCATCATGTTTCAGTGGCCCAAACTCAGTCTCACATGCCCATTCCTCAGTCACTGTGGCAAGAGAGACTGTAATGGGTTTATGCCAGAGTGGAGTTTGCTACTCCATCAAGGGGGTGGAGAGAGAGTAAAACCTAACAAGATCTGAGTAGGAAGCGGGGAAGTGAATGCTGGATAGGCCAACAACAACCACCCTTCCACACCTGGGGCAGGAAGCTTGGCCTGAGGGACACAGATGAATTAATATGCTTTGGTACCTGCCTCAAGTTGTTCCAAGACTGGTCTCAGAGAATCAGGGAATAATTTGCAATTTACTGTGGGAAGGTTGAGGTCCACGCAGGGGAGAAGGGAGGGTAAGGGTCCCTAAGGAAGTGACCTATGAACTGAGCCATAAAGAAGGAGGGCGAACATGGCTGAGATTCTCGTACACCCAGCACCTCTCTGTTGGAGAAATGTCCCTTCCCCATCACACATGGCTCTTACCTGACTGCCAAACTAGGGTGGACACATGGCCCCAGCTTGGCCAGTGAAGGGGTGGCCTGCTTCTCCACACCTGTGGGCGTTTCTCGTTAGGTGGAACAAGAGACTTGAGAAAAGAAATGAGACAGAGACAAAGTATAGAGAAAGAAAAAGTGGGCCCAGGGGACCGGCACTCAGCATACAGAAGACCCACGCTGACACCGGTCTCTTGAGTTCCCTTAGTATTTATTGATAATTATCTTTACCATCTTAGAAAAAAGGGAAGTAGCAGGATAATAGGATCATCGTAAGGAGAAGGTCAGCAGTAAGACATATGAATAAAGATCTCTGTGACATGAATAAGTTTAAGGAAAAGTGCAGTGCCTTGATATGCATATGCAAACATCTTCATAAACCCTTTTAGTGCATAAAGAGCTAGCAAGTCCCACCTTTCGCCCTAAGGCAGTTTTCTCCTTTCTCAGTAAACAGAACATACAATCGAGTTTTACACCGAGATGTTCCATTGCCCAGGGACAGGCAGGAGACAGATGCTTTCTCTATCTCAACTGCCAAGAGGCTTCTTTCCTCTTACACTAGTCCTCCTCAGCACAGACCCTTCACGGGTGTCAGGCTGGGGGACGATCAGGTCTTTCCCTTCCCATGAGGCCATATTTCAGACTATCACATGGGGAGAAACCTTGGACAATACCTAGCTTTCCTAGGCAGAGGTCCCTGTGACCTTTGGCAGTGTACGCGTCCCTGGGTACCTGAGATTAAGAGAATGGTGATGACTTTCAACCAGCAAGCTGCCTTCAGGCACTTGTTTAACAAAGCACACCCTGCACAGCCCAAAATCCTTTAAACCTTGAGTCACACAGCACATGTCTCTTGCAAGGACAAGGTTGGGGGTAGGGTCACAGATTAACAGCATCTCAAATGCAGAATAAAATGGAGTCTCTTATGTCTACTTTCTTCTATATAGACACAGTAACAGTCTGATCTCTCTTTCTTTTCCCCACAGCCAGTCAAGTGCCAATCCCTCTGGCCACAATGATTAGTCCCAGAAGCAGGCATGTGACCCAAGCTGTGTCACTCGAGGCCCTCCATAATATTGCTCTATGAATGCTGAGAGGAGAGTTTCACTTCTTTTTGGACCATAAGCCACAGATGATAAGCTCAGGCTACCCCAGTGACCTGCGCTCCTCCCATGGGGAAAAACCTGCTTGAGAATAAAGCCAGCTCAGAAAAGCAGAGCCAGGAGAAGGAGAAGCGCTGCATCCAGCTATTCCTGAAGCCACCGGATCCTCCCTTAGACTTCCCACATATATCAGCCCACAAAGACTTCTTCTGGCTTAAACTAGTTTGCTTTAGAGTTTTGTGATTTGTAACTAAAAAAGGCCTAACTCTTACAAGTGAATTTTGGCAAAAAGAAAGATGAAGTAGCATCCTGAGAGAGAGGACAGCATGAGGCCCTGCCTCCCACTAGGTGCTGGGCCAAGCTGCTGCAATTTCTCAGTGACTCATTGTCCCCAGGTTGCTCACAGCCTTCTCAGAGAGAAAAGACACCCACATATGCAATGATGAGAAACCAACTATAATCATAATGATAATGCAATTAAGTGCTCAGTAAATGTTAGTATGTACCAGGCACTGTTTTGAACTCATTCAACTACCTAATATTATGGGGTAGGTATCAGCTACCCCATAACAACATCCCATTCACAGATGAGGAAACTGAGCCTTAGGAGGTTACACACCTTGCTTTGTCAAGCAATTGAGTGGTTAAGCCAACATTCAAACTCAGGCCATTTGGCTTGCAGAGAGAGCCTCTTCATTACAACTCACTGAGGCCCCACTCCATTACAGTGTATGTGAACGGTACTCCCTATACTTGGCCAGTGCCCAACCTATGCAGCCATACACGGCAGCTCTGCTCGAAGACCCCCTCCTCTTAACCACTCAATTCCATGTTCACTGGGCCACACCATAAGTATGGTGGGCGTTGTTGATAGAGAGTTCCAAGAACAGAGACAGTTTTGCGGAGGAGGTGGGATGAGAGCTGACGTCCTAAAATTGGATAGAATTGTGAAAGAAGGAAGACAGATATAAATGGAAGAACCCTAGAAGACCGACTGGGCCTAGTTCACCAGAGAAGAAACTTAACTTTCAAGGATCAGTCATGAGCACTCTAGCTGTTCTCTGCTGCATACCTACTATCTGCCTGGCACTGTGCCAGGCCCTTTACCCACCCCTCCCATCTGATGCTTACCACGCACCTCCAAGGAGAGTAATATTCCAGCCTGCAGATGACACAGAAGCTCAAAGAGATGCTGTGCCTTACTGAGGCCATGCAGCCTTGATGTAGGAATAGTTGCTGCCCCCAGGTAGCACCATCCCTGGCAAAGTTCTTACAATCATATCAGAGTGTCTGCTGGAGCCAAAAGATGCCTCCTTTATGAGTGTGGAGGAAGCTGGATTGTCATGACGAGGGCAGATTAG